TTTTTCTTTTTAGAATTATTTATCTTTAATTTTATTTATTCACTTATTCATTTTTTTCTTTTTTGGAGAGGTTTTTGCTATAGGGTGCATGCACTCACCAGACAGACAGAGAGACAGCGAGAAATCATCCCCCCAGAGGGGATGGCCATGCTGCAATCCCTTCTCCTCCATTCTTCTCTTGGGATTTTGGGCACGCACACACATGTATCTGGTGTGAGTTTAAGCCCCCAGGTCTGGGACTCGAATCATGATCAACTACATGGGAGTCCAGCGACACAGCCATTATGCCAACTGCTGGTCTCCATTCATCCATTTTAATTTGACCAGAGAGAGATATACAGAGACAGAGGGAGAAAGGAAAACTGGGAAAGCAAGCCACCAGGTCAACCATGTGGGTGTATCCAGCACCTTAACCACCACGCCACCTGCTGGCCCCCACAAGATTTATTTTTCAACCTAATGGAGTAGCTGGGGAAAATCTACAAACACATAGCCATATTGTAACATAAAAAGAGCAATAACCCCAAAACAATAGGTTTGAATAGAGAAATACAGCAATCACAGAGCAAAGAATGTGACTTGCAATTAGCTCAATCATGCCACTTTAGAGATTGCTAGATATCACATATGATAAGGGAACTATATGCCATGTGGGAAAAGGGGACAAAAGAAATGGTTATGCTAACAATACCTGTCACAAATACAGTTTTCATAGCATTTCCAAACACATAATAACAGCAACCACTCATTGCGTATGATGTACTGCCTGCTTCACTTCACTCATCTCATTTAATTCACATAAAGCTATCTGTTTGGCCCTGTGACCTGGTGGCTGGGGGAACTAGATCCCATGTGGCCCACCCAGCGTTTGGAGTCCTGGACCTGGAAGCTTGACAAGCATGCCAGGTGCATGTGCCAAAAATCCTGACAGGATAGAGAAATGGAGGAGAAAAGATTGTGACCTCCCAGAGCAGTGCTTTCTCCCTCTTCTATCACACATAGAAGCCCTCCTGCTTTATTAACAACAAAAATGTAAACTAGAAACAGGTCAGAAGCAGCAGAACCAGGATTTAGAAACAGTGTTTTGTCTCCAAAGCCAACCAGCTTTCTACTCTAGTATCCAGTTTTATTGCACCATTAATCCTCATACATGGTCTGTAAAGATGAACTGTTAGCTGCACCAAGGTGGGAAGTAAATACCTGTCTTGTTCACCCTGCAACTGGTGATCAATAAATATTGGTTAAGTGAATGAAACAGATGAAGCATAGAAAGGTAAAAAAATTTCCAAGATCATTCAGCTGCTATCTAAAAGAGCCAGGTCTTCTGATTCTAAATGCTATGCATTATAAACTGATCAAGATTCTGCAATAGAGGCCAGCAGGTGACATGGTGGTTAAGATGCTGGATTCTCACAGAGCTGACCACAGCAATAAATATTGGTTAAGTGAATGAAACAGATGAAGCATAGAAAGGTAAAAAAATTTCCAAGATCATTCAGCTGCTATCTAAAAGAGCCAGGTCTTCTGATTCTAAATGCTATGCATTATAAACTGATCAAGATTCTGCAATAGAGGCCAGCAGGTGACATGGTGGTTAAGATGCTGGATTCTCACAGAGCTGACCACAGCTCAAGTCCTGGACCGGCAGCTTGAAAATCATGCCAGGCACACGTGCGTGTGTGCCCAAATTCTGAGAGGAGAATGGAAAAGAAGGGTTTGCAGTATGGCCATCTCCCTGCCCTCTCACTGTCTCTCTCTCTAGTGAGTGTTTGGAGTCCTGGTCCTGGAAGCTTGACAAGCATGCCAGGTGCATGCTTCTCTCTCAGATGAAATAGCAGAAAAAGATTCTGGTATAAATGCTGAAAACTTAAGTAAAGGTAAATCTAAAGACTACAGTGGGAACTTGGAGCAGCAAGGAAGAAGATGAAGGATATGAAATCAAAGACATTGTGGTATAGCATTGCTGGATCAAGGAATAGTCTGGGAAGAGACCAAAGTAACAGCCAACCCCAAACACTTTGTCATCAGTCACAAGGGTATGTGGGTACATGCCAATGGCAGCTTTGCCTATTAATCAAAGCAGAATAAGTGATTCCATGTGGTGAAGAACTCCTGAGCCAACTCGGCAGAAATTCTGCTTGCCTGAAGCTGAACTATCTGCCAAACTCTCCTAAAGTACTGGCTGGACACCCAGATTGGAAATGAGAAACTCAAGAATAATGAGAAGGGCTGTGATGAGAGGTGGGGAGATTGGACGAGAGAATCATCAGTCTGAAGTCTGACTGCTCTTTGTCAGCACAATTCCCTTCTTCCCTCCTCCATTCTAAGGAAATGAAAAGTTTTTATAGGCTGTCCAGTTTAGAAACCAAACCAGAGGCTTTCCAGGTAACACAGACAAGGAAAAGGGTACACCCCCCTATAATTTTTTTTACCCCCTATAATTTTAATAAACACCTGTAAGTTTCCAAGAGGAAGGCTTCAGATCAGTGTGCTCAATCCTAGCTACTTCTATACCCAGAAGCAAAGACCTTCCCTTGGTCTCAACTTAAAGAGACTCAAAGCAGTAGGACAGTAGCTTATGGCAGGCAGTTCCACCACACAGCCTTATTAAATCTAGAAATTAAACTGGAAAAATAACTCTATCTCTTCATGATTTTGGAATCATGGGGATGGCAGTGGCTGATGTTAGTTAAGGCACTGGACTCCCACATGTCTGACCACAGTTCAAATCCTGGACCTGGTGGCTTGCTTTCTCACTTTCTCTCTCTGGTCAAACCAAAAACAATAACATTAACAAGTAAAGCTAAGTAATTCTAAAACTATTTTTAAAATGTTTTGGAATCATATCCATTAGTATCCCCAGTCTTTTAGCAGAGTGTTTGCCCCATGATAGGAGTGCCTATTGCATGAAGATCTCCAAAGCTTGTGTGCCCTTTCCACTACACTTTGTTTAGAAAAACAAAACAAAATCCATCATTACTGCTTATCATTGTCTATAGAAAAATGACTCATTAGCCACACATAGCGATATGGACCTAAAAATCTGTTTTCACTGGAATATTTGGGTTTCATGTCCAAAATCCTGAAAGTAGGACGAGAAGGGATTGCATTGTGGCCATCCCCCTCCTGCCAGGGAGGTGATTTCTTACTTTGTCTATCTCTCCAGTGTCACATGTGCCCTGAACAAAAACTACAAAAAAAAAAAAAAAAAGTGGGAGAAAATGAGATCCCTTTAGAAAGTGTGAACCAACAAATCTGAGATAGTAAATTTTTTTTTAAAGTTTTTGCTATAGAGTGTATATGCTCACCAGAGAGAGACAGAAAAACTAAGGGAAAGTGAAAAATCACCTCCCCCCCCCAGGATGGAAGATGGCCAATTCTTCTTTTTCTTTTTTTTTGGAGAGATTTTTGCCATAGGGCGCGTGCACTTGCCAGACAGACAGAGAGAGACAAAGAGACAGAAAGTGAGAAATCACCCCCTAGAGGGGATGACCATGCCGAAATCCCTTCTCCTCCTTTCTCCTCCATTCTCCTCTTGGGATCTTGGGCACGCACACACACGGTGTGAGTTTTAAGCCACTGGGTCCAGAACTCAAGCCATGGTCGACTACATGGGAGTCCTGTGACATAGCCATTATGCTAACTGCTGGTCCCTCCTCCAACTCTTTTTTAGAGATATTTGGGCGCACATGCCTGGAATGACTTTTGATTCTCAAGCAACTGCGTCTGGATACAATTGTAGAATTGGTCATATGGAATATAGTTACCTTAACCTCCATGCCACCTGCTGGCCTCAATAGTAATAATTTTTAAGGTACTCATTATGTACCCTTTGCAATATCTCATTTAATTTACATCAGAACCCAGGAGGAAACCAAAGCTAAGAGAGGCTAAGTCCCTCCCCCTAGTTAAGTGGCAGAGAGCTACAAAGCCTCTGTGTGCTCTTTTCACTGTACTTTCTCCAAAAAGAAAAGTATGTGTGTGGGGAGGAGGGATCACTATTATTGTCTTTAGGGAAATCTCTGCAACCTTTTTCTGAATTATCGTTAAAATAAAAAGTTAAAGATATACTGTAGTCACTTAATCAGGACCTAGCCAAGTAGCTAGAAATATCGTGGAAGCCCCAATAAATCTGGAACTCAAACTCAGACAGGAAATTCTACACTGGTTAAACAAAAACAAAGAAAACCCTCACATCCCCCTTCCCACGAATTAGGAATCGTTAAGATGAAGATTTCTAACTGAATAGGGTTTCTATCTGGCTTATTTCCACAGAATTCAAGATTAAGAGAGTCAAGGCCTGGGATTTATCCTCCATTCCTGGGGAAGAGCCAGGGAAACAGAGCCAGACACACAGAGGCCAGAGATGTGAGGCTCCATACTAAAACAGACACCAAAGTGAAGTACTAAGTCACAGGAAGCTTGTGTGGGCTCAATGGTATGAGTCCAGATTTAAAGGCACAATTTTTATAAGTGACTTCCGAAGGCACTCCTAATTCCCTAGCAAATCTGAAGTTGCCTTGGAAATTTCAGCGTAAAGATAAATAGAGAATTTAAAAGTCAAGGCTAAAGGGATAGAGTAAATTAAGAGGGGAATCCAAGAACTGCTGGAGTCGCGGAGGAAAGATTGAGAGAGTATGACTGAGAAATGTCTTGGATCTCAGATAAAGGACAAGATTGCAAACAATGGGGCCCACTTCTCAAAGACAGATGCTAGGGCATTAAACTACAAGGAAGAATTCTATTTCTGAAGAAGAAAATGTTGGGAAGGAAAAGGGGATCCCTAAAGAATACATTAATAACTCAATAAAGGGGAGAGGTAGGAGGCTTAAACGTGTGCATGAGTGTGTGCGTCTGTGTGTGTGCCTGTGTGTAGCCCAGAAGGAAACTCCCCAAAAGGAAATGCATGTGAGGGCTGCACGCCAGGAAAGCAATCCGCAGGACTGTGAGAGCAAGGCTCCCTTACAGTGTCCCGCAGGAGGCCAGCCCCTTAGACTCACCTCGGCCATAGCCCTGCGTGTGCTTGGCAAAGCTCCTCACCACGGCCTCCACGGCCTCCCGCAGCACCGCTGGGCTGCCAGCAGTACCGGGAGGCAGAGGC